CAATTACTGGGATAAAGCACCCCCAGAACGCCTTCTGAGCCTGTCTTGGCAATACAGGTCTTTCCAGGACTGCAGGAATATGGATTATGAGAAGGATCTACCTCCTTGTGTTGGGTTTATGTTGCGAGGCTTTGGTGCTGGGGGGGCTGCAGGGATAGTTTCTGTGAGAAGGTGCCAGAATTTGCCTACATGACACCAAGAGAGAGGAGTGGGAATATGAGAGAAACAGCCCTGCAGACACCAAAATCGATGAGAAAGGAGGAGCAGGAGGTGCTCCAGGTGCTGGAGCAGAGATTCCCCTGCAGCCCGTGGTGCAGCCCATGGTGGGGCAGCTGTGCCCCTGCAGCACATGGAGGTCCATGGGGGAATAGAGATCCTCCTGCAGCCCATGGAGAACTCCAAACCAGAGCAGGAGGATGCCCAAAGGAAGCTGTGACCCCATGGGAAGCCCAAACCGGAGCAGATTCCTGGCAGGACCTGTGGAGACAGGAGCTCACACTGGAACAGTTCTTCAGGCAGGACTTGTGACCCCAGGGGGTATCACCCCAAAGGTGCCCTGAAGGACTGACCCCGTGGAAAGGACATGTGGAAAGGACTCATGATAGAGCAGTTCCTGCAGAACTGCCTCCTTGGGTAGGACCCAGCACTGGAGCTGGGGGGAGAGTGGGAAGAATCCTCTCCCAGAGGAGGAAGGAGCACAATGTGTGATGGACTGATTACAGCCCTCATTCCCTGTCCCATCACCACTGGAGGGGAGGAAGTGGAAAAAATCTAGAGTGAAGTTGAGCCTGGGAAGAAGAGAGGGGTGAATGTGTTTTCAGATAATTTCTCATTATCCTACACTGTGTTTTGATTGGTAATAAATTCAATTTATTTCCCCAAGTCAAGTCTGTTTTGCCTGTGACAGTAACTGTTGAGTTACTTCCCCTGTTCTTATCTTGACCCACAAACCTTTTGTCATATTTTCTCCTCCTGTCTGGCTGAAGAGGGCAGTGACAGAGCTGCTTTGGTGGGCACCTGGTGTCCAGTCATGGTCAGGCCACCACACTCAAGTTGAATTATCTCCTTACAATCCCTTTCCCTGCTGAGATCTCCCCTTGCAGTTGTCCAGGGCGTGTGTTGACACACTTTGCTTTGGCAGAGCATGGATTGAAAAGCTCGTCTTTCCATCTTTTGCACCTACCTGGTGTCTGGGTAGCTTTTCAGGCAAAAGGAATAAGGGTTATGTGGGCAGAATAGGATTTAAATGGGCAGATAAATGCCATTGTTGGGTGCTGCTGCTTTAGGAATTGGTTGGATGGGGAGTTGAGTGACCTGGTCTAGTGGAAGATGTCCCTACCCATGGTGGGAGGCTTTGAATGACCTCTTTAAGGTCTCTTCCAACCCAAACCATTCTGTGATTTCTATGAGTTGCAATAAATATAACAGGTTGTCACTATTTGCTAGGCGGGGACAAGGTTGAACTGATAGCAGAGCAAGTTGGGTTGTTCTCTCTCCTGCCAAGGGGATTTTCCTGGAAAATAAATGTAAAAACTGTAAAAATGTTTTTGGAACTGTCCAGTTAAGGAAGTGAAGGAGGAAAGATTTGCATTGGGATTCTGTAACATATTCACTGCAAAACCTTCACAGCTTCCAGGACCCACAGCGTAAATAAAAGTCATTTTTTCCCAGTTGTGGCCCGAACTCTAATAGTGTCAGGACATGTATTTAATGCATATCAGCATTTAATGCACATCAGAAACCTCATACTCCTTCTTGGAGAATCATAATATTTTAGTATTCACTTGATGCAATCAAAGATGTTTAATTTTTTATTAGGCACAGATGTACCTCACATTCACTTTCCATCTCATTCTCGTGTTGTCTTCCTTAGCTTGGTAGTACAGATGCATTTTAACTTTGCTTTCTGCTGCTGCTTTAAAATTGTTTTGCTTGTCTGCTTGAGCTGCTGAATCCTCCTTGAGTAGCTACATATTGGCTTGATGTGTTGAAGCTCGAGACTGGAGTAGTTAAAATAACCTCCTGGTTACTATTTTGTTTTCTTTTGTAAAACAAAAAACAAAATAAAACCAGAACTGGCAGCATGCTGTGACATGAAATAAAAGCCCTGGGGCAGGGGACTGGAAGCCACATTCAGTGTGATTTTCTCAGCCATTCTCCAAGAACTGCGTTTTCAAAGTAATTGTTTGGAAATTCTGGCCAAAGATTTTGTCTGCCTTGATTTTTTTTATTTTTTAAATTTAATTTGCTTTTTTTTGAGTTGTGAGGGTGATATGGTGCTCTCTGGTAGATATTTATGGATTGAGATTTCAGGCCTTGGATGGGAAGCTCATCATCTTACAGTCCTCTTGCATTTGGCTAAAATGAATACACAGAGGCTTCAAAAAACATTTCCATATCCTCACAGTACGATCCTCGCACATTGTCCTGTTGCATTTTCCCTCTTTTCCATTAGGAAATGAGGTAGAGGGTGAGAAAAATGGTGTCCCACCAATAAATTTAAATAAATCTCACCCTCCCAAATTAGCACCTGAATTTCTGGGTAGTTTTTAACTCTGGACTCATAGTGTTGCTCAGTGTTTCTTTCTCACAGTGTCACAGGGACTCCAAAATGCAGGTGTGCATTCCTTGGAATAAAACTGGCAGTCCTTGGAATGAAACTGGTGATTTTCCAGCCCTTTGCAACATTTGGGATATTTCGTCTTTACTTTTGGGGTAGTTTGGGCGTTTTAAATGTCTCCACACCAATGGATGATGTGGATCTGCAGGAATGTCCCCATGTGGAGACACATTGAAGTCTGCAGTGTGCGTTATTTTGGGAAGTTTAATGCAATAATTGAAGATTTGAAGGAGTTTCCAACCCTTGGTTTGGTTCCTCATGGTTCATCTGAGGATTTGTTCAACACCTGAGTGCACATGGATCCAGGATCACTAAATGGCTAAAAATCCATTAAGGCAAATCCAGTGTTGGAAATAAAAGGGTAAAAAAACCCCTCCTCTCAAAAAAAAACCAACTAAAAAAACCTGCCACCTATCTAAAAAAGTCTATGTCACAAAATGTGTGGCCCAGCCCTCTCAGCACATGCAACTGGAAATTTTGCCGAGCTGAAGTCATGTCCTGGCTGCTCATATTCCCATAACTAACCTGCAGCATGTCAGCACCCTGAAAATCCAAGGAAAACCTCCTGAAACGGGGGTCATCACTGTCTGTAAAGAGTTAAAAATCTTATCCTGTGCTGCTCTTTTGCCAGTGATTTAATGAGAGCTGGATCTTGTTGGTAACAAGTGAAATTCCTGGGGGAAGGGGGAGCTCCAGCTCATTTCTGGTGTTGTACAGACTCTATAAAGCAAAGGAAAGGGGTGTCTGGGACAGCTGATTTAGGAGGAAGTGCTGCAAGAGAAGAGTGGGAAAATCTCTAGCAATGAGCCCCTGTGCATTTGGATGAAACACCATTTAATACCCTGGATTTGTGTCAACCCGAGAGGCTGATCCATGACTTTATTTACAGCTGTTCCAGGGCTCAACCCTCTCACATGAGTGTGAGAAGCAGTGGAAAACCTGGCCTTCGGATGTCAAGCTTGTCCTCAAGTGCCAGGAGATGCATCCTCAGGACTAACCTGAGCAGCGCATCAAGTGGGGTTCTCATTTTATTCCATTTTCCTGGGTTTTTGCCTTGCTCCATCACTGACTTTCTGCTCTTCCAAACACAGGTTGGGCATGTGGCTTTTTAACAGCTTAGGGAAATCGGGTTGAGGGATGCAGAGTGTGTTATAAAAATTGAAGATATGAATCATAGCTCCTCTTTGAGTCTCTCTAATGCTTTGTCTCAGAGGAGCACCTTGCTGATAGCAGGGGCTGTTTGAAGGCACTGTAGTGTGTCGGATGTACAAGCCCTGGGGTGCTTTTGGATATGACCAAAGTTTCAGGTAGAGCAGCTTCTGGGAAACCTGTAAAAGCTGACACAGCTGGGCAACAGAATAGGGCTCAACCATCTGTAAACCTACCAGTTTAAACCTTCTTTAAGTGATGTATCCCTTCTGTGTAATATGGCCATAATTAATGGCCTTAAGCTGAAGGAGGGTAGGTTTATATTAGATATTAGGAAAAAATTCTTTACTATAAGGATGGTGAGGCCCTGGCACATGTTGCTCAGAGAAGCTGTAGATACCCATGCCTGGAAGTGTTCAAGGTCAGGCTGGGTGGGGCTCAGAGTAACCTGGTCTAGTGGAAGGTGTCCCTGCCCATGGCAGGGGGGTTGGAGGATTGGAACTAAGTGGTCCCTTCCAACCCAAACCATCCTATGAGTCTATGATTCTATAGTATAGCCCAGGACAACCTCACATCACTCCTTGTCAGGAGGTGGTGAAGCTGTGCAGAAGCTTGGGATAGTTTAAGGGGGTTTAAAGTTGGGAAATGAAGAAATGAAGCTTAAAAGAAAACCCCAAAAACACAGCAGTAATAGCAATGGCAATTCCTGGCACTGACTCATTGCCCTTTGCAGTTGGGCTATCGGGAAGAAATAGGAAAAAGAGGAGCATCTCTTGGGGATTAGAAGTCCCACAGGTTTTCAGCCCATGGAGCAGTTGTGCTCTGCTTGCTGCTTCCTCCCTTTTCATGCAGGCAGGAGCCGCTCACTTGCCCTCCTGCTCTGGGAAGTGATGGTTAAATGATGTTGGGATTGTGGTTTCTCATTCAGTTGGGGTTCTGATATTCCCACTTGATAACTGAGTTCCAGTTGCTAATAATTCCTACAAATGCTGTCTCAGTCTCCCCTATCCACCGTGTTGCAGCAGCATCTTCACTGTTCTGAGGGGCTGATCTGCCAGTCCAGTGCAAGTTGCACGGTCAGACACTGTGTAAAACTACAGTAAACCACCCTCCCTGGGCTAAATTTCTGCAGCAAAGAGGAACCTGCACCCCCCTTCAAAGGCCCATCCCCCTTTCGAAGTGATCAGTGGCCTCCTGTATTAAAATATCTCTTCTGTTTTTGTCTCCACAGCCACCCAGATTGATCCCAGCGAACTGCAGGAGCTTTTTCAGGAGACTTCAGCCAACGTGTTCCGAATTAACTCCAATGGTGCGTATAATGAAAGGTTTCCCAGTCAGTTGTGTGCTGTCCTGCTGATGACTCCTGTGCCTGTACAGGGTGTGTGGCAGCTCCTCTTGTCACAGAGCAAATATTAATGCAGCTTTTCTGCTGCTGCATCTCCCGAGCAGCAGCACATGTCCAATACACAGTCCTTTATAAGATGTAAAAATATTCCACCATATGTTCCATTAAACAGGCACAGATATATCCCAATCCTTGCTGATACCACATCCTTTTCTATTTTTAATTGTGTCATCTGTTACAATGGGGAGTTAGAGTGCAGAAAGGTGGAACAAGCCAGACTTATTTTCTAATATGCTGCAGCACTGCTGTGTTCAGAGCCTGTCTTGTGAGCTTGCAGAACATCCATCTCCCTTATAAAAACACCAACACCAAGACTCTGCTGTTATTCTTCACTATGTAGACTGAGCAGAGATGCTACTCCTGCTCCTGGATCCCCAGGCCCTGGAGATGCAGAGTGCTTCCCTCCTTTGGAGACAAGTCTGGCTCATCAGTTTTGTTGGATTAGGCTGGAGGAATTTGTCTTGCAGACAGATGTAAACTAACAATGGAAGTTGATGTCATGGTACCCCAGATCTAAAATACACTAATGTCAGACAGGAATCAAAACTTGTTGGTGCTGATTTTACAAAAGACCTTACAGTTGCTTTTTAATCACCTGAACACCTTCTGTGTCTGTTCTGTTCCGTGTCTGTAGGGACTGGGTGGCAGAAAGGCCTGGCCTTGGTGTAGGGAGAGGATTTTAGTGCCTCCTTGTTTGTGTAATGATGCCCCAGTGTGTCCCAGGGGCAGAGCCCCAGTCCTTGCAGTAAGAGATCCTTGTTAGAAGAAGGATGGCAAGCAAAACTTCTAAAACATAGTCATCTCTTCTTTAGAGGAGTTGTGTATGCTCTAACTGCCAGGAAAATTCCAGCATCAAATTTTCCATGACTACAAGGGTTTTGTGACCCTTCTGTTGGTGACACACATCCCATGTAAACAAGGGATTATGGCCCCTGTGGGAGCTTGAACTTCCCAGCTGTGACCATGGGTACTTGGCTTGCAGGTGAGTGAACAACCACACCAGAACTCACAGAAATACCTGCAGTAGCATCAAATCTGGTTGCTCCAGCACTAATAGTTTTAATTTGGCAGTGGTAGTGATGAATGGCAGTAACTTCTGCTCCAAACTGAGGGCTCAGTCTGAAGTTTTGCAGCCTGCTTGTGAGCCTGTGTTGTGCTGTTACAGACACCATTATCCAAACCAGCCAGGTTAGGCCTGACTTGATATGTCTCTTCTGTAATCAAAACTCCTACAGTCGTGGAGTTTATCCTGATAACACCTCAGGATGAGTGGCACATCTTTTTTTTTAAATGCCACAACCCAATTTCTCTTTTCATTCTTTGTTAGAATTCCATTAATCCATTCAATTAGGGTTTGAACAACCTCTCTTGGTCTTTGTTTCTCCCCTTGAGATGGTGATGATGTGTTTTCTGCTAAGAGTTGCCTGAGTTGAGTGCTCTGTGAAGCAGGTAATGACAATGCCTGTACTTTAAATGCTTGAAACTACTTTGCAAAAATGGAGACACAACTGTTTGAAGTCTGCAAACCAGACTTTAAAATCTGTGCCATCCAAATTTCTGTGTGAGGCATCTGACAGGACTCACCCGTGGTGTGTAAGTACCTCTGTAGGAAGAAAGACATCAAATAAATAGCAAAGGACTCATTAATCTAAGGTTCTCACACAGAAGGAGATCAGGAGACAGGAGTTAAAGCTGGACAAATTCAATCTTTCTGTATGATGATAACTGGCCATTAGAGCTGCTTATGGAGCGGACCTGATGGATTTGGCTTTGCTTCGAACCTTTAAATCAAGATTCAAATGTCTTTTTATAAGATATACTTTAGTCCAGCTGCAGTCTGGAGTCTTGATGTAGGAGTGATAGGACAAAGTTTTATGGGAGGAAATCAGATTGGATAATCAGAATTGCTCTCTCTGGCCTTTAAAATCTATGAATCTATGAATTTATAATGCCTTTTAAAGTGCTTTCAGGTTGAAGAAATGCCCATAAGATACTCCACTGTTGTTGCTCTGTTCACCACCCATATTATTTTTTGTCTGATAAAGTCAGTTCCATTCAGTTTATATGTGTGGGTTTTATAGTCTTTCCCCAAAAAGCGGATAGAGCTTTACAGGAGAGGGATGCTAAGATTTGGCACAGCTAAGCCGCTTTAGGGAAAGAAGCTTTTAGGGTTAGAAAATGGGGAAGAATGCCCATGATGCTTTCTGCCCTATATCAGATGAGGAGTTTTACTCCTTCTGTGCTGGGCATGGTGTGTTGAACATCCTACAAGCTGCATAAATCCCATCACAGCTCCTCTTTTCCTTCTTTTCCTGACTTGCCGCAGCCTCTCTGGGGTTTTTCAGGTTCCCCATTGTGTTTGGAGGCCAAACCATGCACCTGGAAGGTTCTTCTCCCTCCTGGGATGCTAAAGATCATGAAATCATAGAATCATTGAGGTTGAAAAAGACCTCCAAGATCACCAAGTCCAACCTTTGACTGAATGCCACCAAACCCTCTAAACCATGTCAACTCATTTTCAAACACTTCCAGGAATTGTGATTCCACCCTTTCCCTGGATCAGGCTGTTCCAAGATGTCCCAAGTTGCCCACGTTATGCTTCTGTTGTTTAGCTTCCAAAAATTCCAGGTTGTGGGCAATCTCAGTAATATTTTTTCTACCTTTGGGGAGTGACTATTTTTAATGAAACAAGAAGTCAACTTTGTACCTGGATTTTAAAGCACCATTGAATTTTATTGAGTAACACTGCACAGGTAATAAACACCCTGTGTTTTATCCCTCTTTGCTCTCCTTACTCTTTTTTTACAGAGTTCTGAGCCTTTGGGGTGATTTAAATCCTTTTTGGGCACTTTAGGACTTCCTTCCTGACCAAGGGGGATTTTTACAGCCCTGAGCTGGTTGGGGCTGATCTCACACATAAATGATTCCTGCTCCTTTTTTCTGCTGTGAAAATGGAAATCTTCCTCATGTGTTGAATAAAAATCTTAATCAGGACAGCTAGTTCTCTTTATGTGCTACTGGATCACTCTCCTGCCAGGTCATGAGCTTTATAGACATTTTTTAATGCCATCTCTTACAGGAGTGTGAAGGGGTAGAGGGAGATTTTTCCTATTCTTTTCATCTGTTTTCTTTCTCTTAATCTTTTGGGGCTGTCCCTGTTGACCATAGGGAAGGTTCATAGTGTCACAGAATGGTTTAGGTTGGAAGGGACCTTAAAGATCACCTAGTTTCAACCCCCCTGCCATGGGCAGGGCCACCTTCCACTAGACCAGGTTGTTTGATAGTGCTTTTGCAATTTTCATGGGTTATTTAATTTAGTTGATTTTTTCCTATTAGCACACAAAAAGAAGCCAAAATGCTGGCTGAAATTGTCTTATTTATGGCTTTTTTTTTTTCTGTATATTTTCATCAAGGTTTTGCATTTTGTTCAGTGTACAGCTTTTAGCTGCCTCTCACTAAGTGTCTTATAAATAAGTAAAATAAATAACACTCGTAAATGGGGTTGCTTTGGTGCATCCTGTCTGATCAGTGAAGGATATACTGAAGGAATCAGACCTGTTCTGGCCAGATGGAGAACCTGAGTACTCTAGTGAGTCTCTTCCCTCTCTAACTCCTGCTACTTGCTCATTAATGACTGCACACAACAGGTTGGTGCCGTGCACAGTCCCATTACCTTGATCTTAAAGGCTGAGCTCAGGTGTGATGGAGTCTCCCTTGCCATCTCACAGTGGTTTCTTATCCCTCATTGATTTAAGGATTGAAACCCTCAGTTTCTGTAAATCAGGGCAGTTCCAACAGCAGTGATCCCTTGTGGATGTGCCTCATCATGCAGGACCAGCACACGCTGGTCCTGTTCAAAATGAAGAGTACAAGGCTTTTAAAATAAGATACCTGTTTTAACAGTGGCTTCACAGCATCTCCCCAGCACAGCTTGATGTTTTGCTTCTCTGGTAGGGCTACTGCTCACGTGGTCAGAACTGGTAAATTGAGAGGGATTTTCCACATCCAACACAGGAACTGCACAGGTTTTGATAAAGTGATTTGTGGTCAAGCAGGTTAGATTTAGCCCAAAATAGCTCAGACTTAATCGCAGAATCATGGAATGGCTTTGGTTGGAAAGGGCCTGAAAGATCATCTTACTCCAACCCCCCTGCCATGGACAGGGACACCTTGCACTAAACCAGGGTGCTCAAAGCCCTGTCCAACATGGCCTTGGACACTTCCAGGGATGGGGCAGCTTCTCTGGGCAACATGTTCTAATCACCACCCTCATAGCCAAGAATTTATTCCTGAAACCTGATTTAAACCTGCCCTTACCCCTTAATCTAAGCCATTACCCCTTGTCCTGTCACTGCAGACCCTGATCTCTCCATCTCTCTTGGAGCCCCTTCAGGCACTGGAAGGGGCTCCAAGGTCTCCCTGGATCCTTCTTTTCTCCAGGCTGAGCAACCCCAGCTCCCTCAACCTGTCTCCATAACACAGGGGCTCCAGCTCTCTGAGCATCCTCGTTACCACCTCTGGACTTGCTCCAGCAGGTCCCAGAGGTGGTCACAGTGTTCCAGGTGGGGTCTCCTGGCAAGAGAATGGAGGGGGAGAATCACCTCCCTTGATCCACTGGCCACTCCTGTGTTGATGCAGCCCAGGCCATGGGTGGTTTTCCTGAGATTCAGGAATCTTAGTCCCACTATTTTCCAGGTAAGAGCTACATCAAATGGTGACCTCTGACTGCTCAAAAGAACCCGTCTTATCATTTTAGGATGACTGACCTTTATGTAAGTGCATAAATACTATGTTCAAACTGGAATATTGGGTAAAATTATTGGATAGGGACTTAAACCTGAGTCATTTTCTCACCTGACTGACAAATGCTTTCCTCATCTCTTGCATTCATGTCTCAGATTCTCTTCCTTTTATGCAAGTTTTCCAAAATCCTTAACAAGTCTGATAGCTCATGGATTTACCTCAGTGTAAAATGGCAGGTGTGTGAAGTTTTGAAAGGTATTTTACAGTAGAAAAGCTGCTTCCTACTCCAATCTTCCCCAAAGCAGGTGGTAGCAAAATTCACTTTGAATTGTCCTGATTTTTGCAGGCCAGGTTGGGGAAGTTCATGGATACTCCAGCTGCTGTTTTTCCTTCTGGAGTTGCACAAATGACATTAACATGTTCTTACAAATTCAATGTCCACACAAGTCCTTTCTTTACCTTGACTTGCTGTCCATTCTCCAAGGACCACACTCTGCTTTGTTTCCAAGGGTTGATGGGCCCAGAAGTATTTTTAGTTGATGCAAAATTTTGTATTTGAAATAGAGGGCTTAGAGATTGCATGGGAGATTGGGTTTTTAGGATTGCAGAGAGGGGAAGAGAAGGAATTCTAATATCCATGAGATCTCTGCAGGATCAGATCTGTTCTTCTACAGAAGCAAATGGTTATTAGTGAAAAATTTCAATTTATTCTTTAAAATATTGTGCTTCCTGCAAAGAAGAATAATTATTAGCTCAGTTATAGACAATTACTTGAGGCTTTATCTTACTGAATCTCCAAACTCTGCACTAAAATCTGTTATGGAGACCTAGCATTTGGGGTAGAAATATATGGTTGTATTCAAGGTTTGTTTGAATATTCATGTTCTTCAGGCACATTAGTTATTTTTTGTGCTATTTAGTGACTTTTGGTGTCAAGCCAGTGGAGCCCAAAAGAGAAGAGAGGATTTGGTCTGTCAGTGGAAATATAATTAAGTGACTTGTTCAAAGTTACAGGCCAAGTCCAAGTCTGCAGAGTCATTAAAACAGAGGATTTCTTAAATTTCTGCAGAAATAATTGAGCCATGTTTCTAATCTGCTCTTCTTTCTTTCCTTAAATACTGAAGCGTGACTGATAACGGGTGATGAGTTTTTACAACTGGGAGCATCCCGAGAAAAATCCCACATGTAAATATCAAGAATGTAATTTATTTAACATGTTTCATTGTGGAAAATCTTCAAATGCTTTTCATACTTGCTGTGCTAAGTCCAGCAGTAGTGACCTGTTTTTAATTTGAAAGTGAATTTGAGACAGTGAAATTCAAGGGTCTAAAAAGACAACTGTACTTCTAGTTTTCTGTTACTTTTATATATACACACATAGACATATATATATTTCTTAAATCTGAAGTCATTAAAAGCAAAGCAAACCATATTTCCACCTTCCTGGTGTCCTTAGAATAGAGTATCCTCCTCTCCTGAAGGAAAAACCCAAATATTTCTCCAACACAGGAGATGATCACAGCGAAGGGTTCTGTTTTAGAATAGAAATAGAAAAGAAAACAGAAATAGAAAAGATTTTGAGTGCTAAGGTCTTGAACAAGAAGGAGGAAAATATTGCAGTGAACATCAATGTTCTGCCTCTTAATTTTTATTCAGAGCAATAAATAGTTATTATGCGACTTCTTGCCTCTTCACTGGGGGCACTTTTCCAGCTGGAGATGCTCCATGCACATCTCTGTGCCATCCCAAGGCTGGAACAGTCAGAGACCTGTGCAAGGTCCATGGGATGGAGGTTTTCTTGCTCTTACAAGGGGTCATATTCCATCATGTCGTGGCACAGATTCATGGATTCACCATTTATGGATCCAGGGAACTCAGTTTATCCCTTCTGTTGTAATGGCTGTTGCTGGATGGTGTCCCCTTTGTCTCATGGGTTACTTGTTCAAATACTTCACTGTATTTAAAAAAAAATAAAAATAAAATTACCAGACAAACAGCTGAACTAAAATCCAGCATTTTTTTCTCTGGAAAAGTGTCCTGTTCCTTTATCTTTTCTTTCTGTGCTGTTGACAGTGACCTCTCTGGAAAGAAGTCTTCGATCTCTGGGGACCTCAAACGATACTCAAGAGCTGCAGGATGGACTGTGAGTTTATTTTAAATTGCTGCAGGTCTTTCTTTATCCCAACCTTTTCATTTTTTTTCCCTCATCTATTCTCACCTTTTCTTCAGCCCTTTTATGGCATTTTTTTGTCAGCCTCACTTCTTTTTTTTTTGTTTCTATTGGTGATTAATGGTGGTAGGATGTGTATTGATCCTATAAAACTTTGCTTGTGCTGATTGCAGATGGCAGAGAATGGTGGTAGATAAAGAAAAATATGACCCACAGTGAAAGGGCGTTCTGTGGGTCTGTCTGTGTTGTTATTTTTTTATTGGTTGTTATCTTTTTTTGTTGCTGGGGGTTTTTTATTTGTTTTTAAAGTGAAGCCAGAGTAGGATGCTGTGGTGGTTTTGGCTGGGATGGAGTTGATTTTCCTCATAGTGGTGAGCAGGAGGCTGTTTTGGATTTGGGATAAAAGCAGCATGGATAACCCAGGGATGTTCTAGTTCTTGAAAAGCAGTGATTATACAGAGTCAAGGCCTTTCCTGCTCCTCACCCCACCCCACCAGTGAGTGGGGAGGGAGTGAGTGGCTCTCTGGAGTTTAGTTTCTGGCTGGAGCTAAACCACAACACATGTTTGTGTAGCTTTTCCTTTTGTTTTACCCCTCTTCCACTTTGCCAAAGTCCATGAACCCAAGTAAAAAGGGACTTTTGACAAGGGCACATAGTGATGGCACAAAGGGGGATGACTTTAAATTGAAAGACAGTAGGTTTAGGTTGGATATTAGGAAGAAATGTTTCCCTGTGAGGGTGGGGAGGCCCTGGCACAGGTTGCCCAGAGAAGCTGTGGCTTCCCCATCCCTGGAAGTGTCCAAGGCCAGGTTCGATGGGGCTTGGAGCAACCCTTGGGATAGTGGAAGGTGTCCCTGCCCATGGCAGTGCATTGGAACTGGATGATATTTAAGGTCCCTTCCAGCCAAAATCATTCTATGACTCCATGGGAAAAAAAAAAAAAAAAAGAAGAGGGAAGAGGATATTTTATAGGTGGAAAAGTGTGTTGTGGGGTCGAAAGCTGCATCCCAGCATCACAACACTGACAAAATGAAACTTCAGTTGAAGTTGCAGTAGCTCCAGTTCATTAAACCCCCTCTCCCAGAGCTGTGTACACACAAACACGCACAGTTGGCTTTCATTGCACGCATGCTAATTAGAGAATTAAAATGGCTCTTCCAAATGTAGCCCAATTTATTAAAGATGCCTCCCTTAATGCAGCTTGCATGCAAAAATCAAGTGTTTAGGATGTGGCTCTGATTTCCTGTATATAACTGAAGTTCCTGCTGAGATTTGGCTTTGAAGAAAGGGGAGTTTGGGGTTTATTTCTTTCTATTACCTTTACACAACTGTAATTTGCCTGATGGACCTGACTGACCTTCTCTATGCCATATAAACTCTCAGACTGGTTTTCAGTCTCTCCCCTTCTCTCTCCATTGGTTTCCTCAGGGCATCAGATCTGCCCTAATTCATATCTAGTGTGTTTTGCAAACCAGAGGATTAAAAATAGTAATAGTAATAATAGTCAGAAGATTTGAAAGTAAATTTAGGAGGTTGGAGAGGATGCAGGAGTACAAAGTCAGTCTGTGGAGATTGATGTAATCAGGAGAGATGTTTACATGGCCAAAATTATTTGCAGTACAAACCACCTTAATCAGTGGAGATCCTTAGCCCAGGAAAGTCTTGTATCACACAGCTATTATGTTTGCTCTCCTAAATTACTCTTTTTTTTAAATTTAAGAATCAATTCCTTGACTCTTCAGAGCACTCCAAAACTATGGCTAGATAATTTCCATCTTTCCTGAGCAGTTACATAAATAGGCACCAATGAGGCACTAATTGCACTAATTATTTTTATCATTAGTTATCATTAATTGTCCAGGTAGTTGAGTGCAGCTTATTTTTATTTTAAACATGCTTGCCTACCCTTCTTATCAGCCCCAGAATTCCTCCAGCTGCCTCCTGCTTCATCCCTTCTCCCCATTCTCCAGCAGGTCTCTCCTGGTTCCTCCCATTTGGTTTGTTGTATCTCCAGAACAAACAGTTCCAGGGTGCTCTGCAGAGGAGGACCTACAGCTTTTTCCCCTCAATCCTCTCCTAAAACTGAGGTGTCCTTCCATTGCCCCCTTTTCTAGGCAAACAGCCTTGAGTGCTCTACAGGAATCTCTGTTTCTCCTGAGAGCTGCACCAGCAGAAAGCAGCACCCCATGAATCACAGAGCTGGCAGAGCTGATATATCTCTGCTCAGGGGGGTCAGCTCTTCAGGTGAGACCTTTGGGGCAGTGTTTTCTGCTTGCCCAGCTGCAAATCATGGCTTAATCTTCCTCCTTTGCCACTTGACCCCTTTCCTTCATAGGTTGATGCATGTTTCTCCTTGAACATCCTCTAACATGGGAGATGGGAGCAGGGAGTGAACATTTGGTAGGTTTATAGCCTTGGCTATCAGGGAAACGATGATGTTTGTGGGTATCTAAACAGTAAAATTGCCACAATTTCTACTTTCTTATTAAGTGACTCTTACTCTGCCTAAAATGAGGCTGTTATGCAGATGGGGGGAGGCAGAGTATTTGGGAATAGGGATTAATGGTGATCCTGCCACACAGGACATTCAGCTGCTGTGGTCTGTATTCTGCATGTTTGCTTATCTGGCTGCAGGGTTCTGCTAAAACACAATAAAAACAAGGTTACCTGATTCCTTTTCAAATTCACCCAGACTTTCTGCCTCTTAAGCACAGGACTCACAAAGGCATCAGATGAGGGCAGGTTTCTGACTGTCAAACTGGGCTATTCCCTTTTCTGAAATGGTTTCTCTCCTTTTGAGAGCAGAGTCATTCAGAATAAGGGTTGTATCTGTGGCGAGTGAATCTGGGAGAGTTCATCCCCAGTGGAATGCCAGCTCCAGTCAGAGAGACAGACTTGGCTGCTGAGGTGAGCTGGGTGTACATGAGACCCAACTGTGGATGATCTTGGTCTAAGTTCTTCCCAGAGCCAGCACAAATCCTTGTGTGCCCCGTGCTTGGGGCTGGGTGTCCTGGCAAGTGAAACATGAATGTCCATAAAATGCAGTTGGCTGAATGCAACTGACCCTGGATTAAATGGGGAGAGAATGGGAGCAAAAGGAAAGAAGGTGTTTGGAGCTGGGATGAGGAGCTAAGGCCAGGAGGCAACGCCAACAGCTTTCTCCAGTGGTGCTTGGCTACAAACAGCATGTTAAGTACTGATATGTTGCAGGAAAAATCAACTGGTTTGTTTTCTGGGATGAGGGGGTTCTCCAGCATTAGGTGCTGAAGGGAACTGGCTTTTAATTTAGGCAAATCAAATTAAATGCCCAGATCGAGCACTGACAGTGAAAACCAGTCTCTTTTCTTGTGAGTGATATGCCTGGTTAATCTCCCAACATCCTCCACAAAATGGCTGGAAATGAAAGCATCCCTGTAACTTGGGCAATGCTCTCTGAGGAGTATGATAGAAGAAGAAAATAAAAACCAAAAGCTTTCATTTTTTCACAACCTGACCCTGTCTCATTGTGATCTCAAGAGAAGTGGCCGTGCAGGCTGCAAGTAGCACTTGTTGGCTACCTGTAAGCTATGAGACTGAGCTTTAAGTGGCGTGAAGGGGCCTTGATGTCCTTTCCATGGAGGCTGGTTGGCCATGGCAGCAATCCATGCTCTCCAAACCAGGCTTCCTGCATTGCTCACCTCAGTGAGGAGTTTGATTCCTTACTGCACGTTTGACCTTGTCTCACTGCAAGGTGAAGAGCAGTAGGACAGTGACTCCATCACAGCTTATTACTCATTTTCAGGTGGGTCTGGGAGGTAGCCCAAGAGTCTTCACTCTGTGGCACTTTTGGATGCTTTACGAGTCAGTGGCAGAAGCATTTCCCTGTTTAAGAAGGAGTTATAAGAAGGATATTTTTGGGGCTTTTAGCACTGATGAGATTTACTAAAAAATGTGTTGATTTCTCCTGATTTGAGAAAAAAACCTTTTAGCTTTTGCCTCCCTTCTCCCATTGGCATTAATTTTTTTTGAAAAGTGAACATTATTGAAATACGTGGGATTTTTTTCCTGCACCTGAGAGAGGCCTCGGCTCTATATCTGTACAGTGTGAGAAAATAAAGCTGCTTTTCTCATTGAATTGATGCACAATCCTGGATAAGATGGTGCATGGAAAAGAATTCCTATGGCCACAAAGGAGTTTCAAAGTATTTTCCACATAGGAAAGCTCAGTTTGAGATCTGAGCTGCTTCAGGGTGAGTCAAGTTCAACTGTTCTGGAAGAAACTGAAAGTTCAGCTTTTGTATTGCTGCTCTTACCTGTGTTTTGGACAAAAATTAACCTCACAGGGCACCTATTTTCCCTGGGCATGCAAGATCTGCTAAAATGCATGTATGGATCACTGTATTCTTTGCTGGAATTAAAGGGAATTCCATCTTCCACACCCTTCCCTGGGAAATTTGCCACATCACCTGAAAATTTTTTGAGTGATGAGTAAAAGCACTTCATAAGTTTATTTTGCCACCACATAACCCTAAAATCACTGGATACTTACGGTGAAGTATTGTCAGTTTGACATGTTTTTGGGAAGAGAAGCATCCCTGGACAAGCTTGAAGCCACTTTGAACAGCAGGAGTCAATTAAACTGTGGCAACGAGCTCTCAGGCTCAATCTGAGGAGCTTTGCTGGATTTGTAGAAGCACTTCTGAAACACTGACATTCAGGGTGTAACCAATAATTTTAAGATGGACTGGACTGAGCTGTGAGGTTGTGTGGCACAAGTTGTTCACACCTTCTGATGGATAAGACACCTAAAGTGGGTGCCTGTGTCGTCTCAGTCTGTGGTGTCTGTCAGGATTCAGCTCATCCCGATAAGGCCACAGAATCATGGAATGGTTTGGGTTGGAAGGGACCTTAGACACTGTGTAGTTCTAACCCTGCCCTGCCAGGGCAGGGACACCTTCCACTAGACCAGGTTGTCCCAAACCCTCTCCAGCCTG